CCCTTACTTCTAAAAATTAAGGACTCTCTAATATCTCTTCATGAAGATAACGAGGGTAGGTGAGATTCACAAAGTCGCTTTTTTTTTATATTCAATGTTACAGAAAGTTGCATGTTGCAAGAACGATTTGGCTATCTAGTAGTGTCCACTTGTAATTTATGAGAAAAAAATTGAAAAATTCTTGTTGAGAGAGAAAAAGGAGGAGAAACATTTATAATGGAGAGATGTAGACAGAAAAAGGGGTGAGAAACACCTAAGATATGCAATGAGAGAAAGGATGAGAAACACTTATAATGGAGATATTTGAAGAGGGGTAGAGAGAGAGAGGGAGTTGTGTTGCGTGGTTGAATACCATAAATGTGATAAATGGAGTTGGATCGGCAAAGCCGGTTTATGGGACCTCCATGCATGTGAGCCTTTTATGAGCATTTGTCGGCATGGCTTGGTCATGCCTTTATATAGCTTTGTGTTTCTCATGCTACTGCACCACAACAATACTATTCCCTCCCCCTCTCTCTCTCCCTACAAGCCTTTAAAGGCCATGAGAGTTCAGTGGGCTCGACTCGGGGTCTTCTTGGCCTGTCTGCTCGTTGCCTTCATTGCTTGCAATGCCAGTAAGTCTGCTGTTGTGGTTGGCGTCGGAGAATGCCTGGATTGCGCGAAGAAGAGTTTCCCTACTGACCATGCATTCTCAGGTCTGTTGGCAGACAAGGAGTCGATAAGGATTCAGTCTCTCACTTAATGGCTTCTTTTTACTAAGCTAGAGCTTTTTTTTGTTGTGGTCAATTAGTTCATTTATGCAAACTGGGTCTCCCTCAATTTAAACTTAGGCTTTATGTCATGCAGTTTTGTAAACAGCATTCTTTAACTAAGAGGCTAAACATATCCTATTTATTGGTAGCTGACCATATGTAGTGCACAGTGACTTGTTTATTTTAATACATCTTTCTAATAAAATTAATTCACCATTGATTTCTGGGTGGGCCTGCCCACTTTCTCGTAGAAATATTTATCTATAGTTAAAAATTTGTGCTCTTTATCTGAAATATTTATATACTGATCAATCTTTTGTGCAGGTCTCCATGTAAGTATTGATTGTAAGACAGATGGGGGGAAGTTCCACAGTAAAGCTGCAGGTGACCTAGACAAGAATGGGAAGTTCCTGGTAAAACTCCCTAGTGATCTCCTTAATGAGGAAGGAGATCTCACAGAGGAATGTTTTGCCCAACTCCACAGTGGTCCAAGCTCGCCATGTCCCTCGCAAGCTGGACTAGAAGCGCAAAAAATCATGCTCAAGTCGAAGGAGGATGGGAAACACGAGTTTGGCACTAAGGGGAAGTTGTCATTCTCACGTTCGACGTGCGCTTCCGCCTTCCTGTGGCCATATTTCAAGTTCCCCCCAATCAAATGGCCTCCTCACAAGTTTATCCCTCACCTTCCACCATTTAAAAGCTTCAATTACCTTTCCCCCATTGTTTTCCCCCCCTTACCCCCCAAGGTTTTCCCCCCATTTCCACCTAAGGTTTTCCCTCCTCTTCCTCCAAAGGTCTTCCCTCCAATTTACAAGAAGCCCCTTCCTCCTCCAGTGCCTATTTTTGAGAAGCCACTACCACCCCCAGTGCCAATTTTTGAGAAGCCCCTACCACCCCCAGTGCCCATATACAAGAAGCCCCTGCCACCCCCACTGCCCATATACAAGAAGCCCCTGCCACCCCCACTGCCCATATACAAGAAGCCCCTACCACCTCCAGTGCCTATATACAAGAAGCCGCTACCACCTCCGGTCCCAGCGTACAAGAAACCGATTCCACCCCCCGTGCCTATATACAAGAAGCCACTCCCACCTCCAGTTCCAGTATACAAGAAGCCACTCCCACCTCCAGTTCCAGTATACAAGAAGCCACTCCCACCTCCAGTGCCTATATACAAGAAGCCACTCCCACCTCCAATTCCTATATACAAGAAGCCTCTCCCACCTCCAGTGCCTATATACAAGAAGCCGCTTCCGCCTCCAATTCCGATCTATAAGAAGCCATGTCCACCCCTCATCCCAAAACCGCCTATATTCAAAAAACCACTACCTCCAATCCCGAAGCTTCCTCCTAAGAAATCCTTCCCTCCAATTTACAAACCACTTCCCCCTATCCCAAAACTTCCACCAAAGAAATCCTTCTCTCCCATTTATAAACCCCTTCCTCCTATCCCTAAACTTCCTCCAAAGAAATCCTTCCCTCCAATTTACAAACCTATTCCACCTATTCCAAAGTTTCCTCCTGTTTACAAAAAGCCATTGCCTCCACTTCCAAAACTTCCTCCAAAGAAATCCTTCCCTCCAATTTATAAACCTATTCCACCTGTTCCAAAGTTTCCTCCGGTTTACAAGAAGCCATTGCCACCAATTCCAGAACTTCCTCCAAAGAAATCCTTCCCTCCAATTTACAAACCTATTCCACCTATTCCAAAGTTTCCTCCATTGCCACCAATTCCAGAACTTCCTCCAAAGAAATCCTTCCCTTCAATTTATAAACCTATTCCACCTGTTCCAAAGTTTCCTCCAGTTTACAAGAAGCCATTGCCACCAATTCCAGACCTTCCTCCAATGAAATCCTTCCCTCCAATTTACAAACCTATTCCATCTGTTCCAAAGCTTCCTCCTGTTTACAAGAAGCCATTGCCACCAATTCCAGAACTTCCTCCAAAGAAATCCTTCCCTCCATTCTATAAACCCATTCCTCCACTACCACCCTTCCCTCCCATTTACAAGAAGCCCTTTTCCACCTTTTCCTTTCCCTAAGCTCACTTTTCCAAAGTTCCCTCCAAACCAACAAGCCTCCAACCTCCCTTAAGCCTCCTTTTCGGTGATTCATAAACCATTTTCATGCCTTACATTGCCCTTTGATGTCTTCTTCAAACCATCATCATCCATGTCTGTAATAAAAATCCCATAAAATCCCGAGTGTTGCCCAAATTGAGAAAATGAAAAGAGTGTGACATTATGTGTGTATTTGATATAATCTTCATCTAGTGTTGTGAGTGGTGCCTTAATTTGTTTTACATGTGATGTACTGTTGCTGAAATTATACAGCCTCTTGCATATTAATATGTACATTTTCCACAGTTCCATTGCGTTATCACTTTATAGCAATCTTTCATCAATAAAAGTTTTGCCTAAAGTTTCTCAATTTAACACGATTAACCTTCTTCTTGCTAACTAAAGTTTGCATCTTCATGTCAATGTGGGTGCTAAAAGAATCATAAGCATGGCTTTGCTAGCAAAATTTCCAAACATTAGTATTCCATTTATATATCTATTCTAGATTATAAGGTCCTAGGAGGTGGAAATGTGTCATTCAACTAGGATAGGGACCTATTAAGAAAGAGTTTTGAAAATAGGGTACCTACCTTTGAGAGAGGGGGTTCAAAGTAGAGTGATCTCTCTCTCTCT